AAAATCATTTATATAAATGACAAAAAGTAGTGGACCTAGCACTGATCCTTGTGGCACACTGCTGGTCGCAGGCCTCCAGTCTGAAATGCAACTGTCCACCACCACCCTTTGACTTCCACCTTTGAGCCAGTTCTGTATCCAAATGGCTAGTTCTCCCTCTATTCTATGTGATCTAATCTTGCTAACCAGTCTTACCATGAGGACCCTTGTCGAACGCCTTACTGAAGTCCATATAGATTGCATCCACTGCACTGCCCACATTAATTCTCTTTGTTACTTGTTCAAAAAACTCAATTAATTTAGTCAGACATGATTTCCCACACACAAAGCTATGTTGACTATCCCTAATCAGTCCTTGCCTTTCCAAATACAACTGTCTATCTTCAAATTCTTCTCCACACTAAACACTGATGCAAAATACTCATTTAGTATCTCCCTTATCTCCTGTGGTCCCACACATAGGCAGCTTGCTGATCTTTAAGGGGCCCTATTGTCTCCCTAGTTACTGTTATGTTCTTAACGTATTTGTAAAATCCCTTTGGATTCTCCTTTACCCTATTTACCAAAGCTATCTCATGTCCCCTTTTTGCCCCCTTGACTTCCCTCTTCAGGATGCTCTTGCTGCCCTTATACTCTTGTAGGGATTTACTTGATCTCTGCTGTCTGTACCTGACATATGCTTCCTTCTTTTTCTTGACCAAAAGCTCAATTTCTCTAGTCATCCAGCATTCCCTACACCTACCAGCCTTGACCTTCACCCTAACAGGAACATACTGTCTCTGGATTCGCTATCTCATTTTTGAAGGCTTCCCATTTTTTAGCTACCTTTTACCTGCAAACATCCACCCCCAATCAACTTTTGAAAGCTCTTGCCTAATACCGTCAAAATTGGCCTTTCTCCTATTTAGAACTTTAACTTTTAGATCCGGTCTATCCTTTTCCATCACTGGTTTAAAAATAATAGAATTATGGTCACTGGCCCCAAAGTCACCTCAGCCACCTGCGCTGCCTTATTTCACAAGAATAGGTTAAGTTTTTTTGCACCTTCTCTAGTAGGTATATCTATGTACTGAATCAGAAAATTTTCTTGTACATACTTAACAAATTCCTCTCCATCCAAGCCCTTAACGTTATGGCAGTCCCAGTCTATATTCGGAAATCAAATGTGACATCATAGAGCAGCAGGTTGGTGATGGGTTGCTGAGAATTTTGCTCTTTCATCTTTTAACCTTTTGTAATTGTAACGTTTTATGACTGATAAACGCTAATAGTGTTGATTGTAGTGATAGTACTTGTTGATTATAAATTAATTTAAAAAAAGAAAATCATTAGCATATAAGTTAGCAGGATGTGTGATTCAGGCCAACTATATCTGCACTGCCTACAGCTTGAGGAGCTTGACATGAGAATCATTGAGATAGAGGCCAAAATGCAGACATTGTGACCAATCAGGAAGGGGAGAATTACCTGGATGCATTCTTCCAGATGGCAAGCCAACTCTTTGGGAACAATTCTTCTGATTTTATCAGGGCCACAAGGACGTGAGGGAGAGTAAGATGGGTATGGAGACCCAGAAATTAAGATGAAAGAGACTTAGTCTTTGCAACTGTTCAATGGTTCAAATTTCTTGCAGCCTGTTTGGATGAAACCAATGGCTGTGTGATGGATGAGCAAATTGTGTGTATCTCCTAACCAGACTAAACAATTCTCTGAAGGCAAGAGGGACAATCTAGATGGCTGTGTTGCCTGTTCCAGTGTTTGCAATATCTGCTCTGGGTTGAAGTGGAATCATCTGTAATGGTGGTGGTGAAAGGGGTTGGGGGAAGGAGTATGGGAAATCACTGGCTGTGGTCCACTTAAGTAAAGCTAGTAAAGAGATGGTGATGATCATATAAGCAGCTTAAAAAAAGTGCCAAAGCTGGTAATTTCTGGTTACAACCTGAACCATGACCAAATTGGTGGAGGGTAAATAATATTGGAGTTAAATGTGTGGATCAATATTGCTGTCAGAAAAATAGACTGTGATTCATCGGGTACTGGCACTAGTATTGTGGAAGCTGTACCATTAAGATGGTCTTCACCTAAACCGTATTGAGACAAGTGTTCTGGTGAGTCATAGAATTTGACTTATCGAGAGGAATTTAAACTAAATAATGGGGTTAGGTGATCACGTTTGGAAAGATGTGAAAAATTAAATATAGAAGAGAGCAAAGTAGCATTAAGGAATATCACTGCCTTCTTGAGTGTGGCAGAAAGGACAGAGTAATCAAATCTAAAAATGCATCACCAGATAATGTTAGAGGTTACAAAAACGACAGAACACACAGCTCAAAGTTCCATATCAGCATATATCATTTGTGACAAAATGGATGAATTGACAACCCAAATTAAAATGATGTGATAGCGATTACAGATCTGTGTCTGCACAATGACAAAGACCTGAATATTCATAGATACGTGATATTTAGGAAGGACAAGTAGTTGGGAAAAAGTGGGCAGGTTAATTAAGGACAATATTGCTTCAAGAATGAAAGATGATCTTAGTTCTGGAGATCACAATGTAGAATCAGTTTGGGCAGAAATACGAACTCATAAAGTAAGAAGTCAGTTGTGGGAGCTGTTTATAGGCCTCCTGCAGACTATAGGATGTGATATTCAGTAGGAGATAATGGGTGCTTATGAGAAACGTACTTTTAATCTACAAATAGGTTGGATTAATCAGATTGGCAAAGGTAGCCTGGATGATGAGTTTGTGGAGCTTTAGGGATATTTTCTTAAAGCAGGCAACCATAGAGCAGGCTGTACTAGATCTGGTAGTATGCAATGAGACAGGATTTATTAACAACCTCATTGTGAATGTACCCAGACATTACAGTGATCATACTAGATAGAGTTCCACATCAATTGAGGGAATAAAGAATGGATTTAAGACTAGTACTTTAAACTTGAAATCAGCTGAATGGAGGTGGGAAATTAGGGATAGGTGAGAAAATGGAGAGTGTGCATTAATAAGTCATTTTCAGGTTGACAAGATCAATGAGTGAAGTGCTGGAGTCTGTGATTGACAGTTTATCTCAATGGCTTGGATGAAGGGACCAAATATATGGTTGCAAAATTTGTTAATAATAGATTGGAAAGTAAGTTGTGAAGAAGACATATGGAGTCTGCAAAGGTACGTAGATGGATTACATGAGTATCAAAAATTTGGCAATATAATGCAGTAAAATGTGAACTAGTCCACTTTGGCAGGAAGAATTGAAAAGCGTTATATGATTTAAATGGACAGAGATCGCAGAACTCTGAGATACAAAGGGATCTGGATGTTCTGGTGTATAATCACAAACATTTAGTGTGCATGCGTAATAAGTAAGAAAGAAAATGGAATTCCATAATTTATTGCAATGGCAATGGAACATAGGGTAAGGATGTTTTGCTGCAGTTGTACACGGTTTTGGTGAGACCACATGTGGAATACTGTATATAGTTTTAGTCTCCTTATTCAAGAAAGAATATAAATTGTTCAGAGGAGGCTCACTTGACAAATGCCCGGGATGGATGTGAGGGAGGAGGGAAGGTTGTCTGGGAGAGATAGGTTGAGCCTGTAACCATTAGAGTTTAGAAGAAAGAAGGGTGATCTTATTTGAAACCTACAAGGTCCTGAGGAGACATTGAAAGCATGTTTCTTCTTGCCAAAGTTCTAGAATCAAGAGATACATTGTTTTTAAAGTATATCACCTGTTTACATGGAGTTAAGGATAATTGTTTTCTCTGAAGGTGAGAATCTTTGGATCTCTTTGCCCCAATTCTCAATTTACAGAGTAGAAATGAAACTTATATTGCACTCGAAATTTTGTAAAAGTTTAAAATCCTCTTTGCTATGTGGCTAATGGCTTGGGGTTGAACTAAATAAAATTGATAACACAAAGCTGACCTTTAAAAAAGGACCAGGCAGCAAATTTGCACTCATAATTTGACTTGTTTTGCACTCAGTTTTATGCTTCAACACATATTATTAATGTTCTTAGGGAACGTCGCTGTAACCCACCAAGGGGAGGGAGGGGGGGCACAGGGGTGGCAGAGAATGGGGAGAAATTTCAGTGCAACTCATCCATTGTCCTGTTTCAAAATATTTATATCTGCCTAACTTTAAATGTGAAGTATTTTTGGATGAATTAATTAACATTGTTTCATTTTACAAAATTCTATTGAATGCTTGGGGTATTATGTTCTCATAGTCTTATTTTTATATTTAATTTTTTTACTCTGTTGTTTTAGTGATGTTTTTCAAAACTTAATGTGTAATAAGGGCTAATTTTAAGAAACTGCTGACAGGCTGAACCCTTCCTTACTGGAAGTACATATCATGAAATCACATGCATTTCCCACAATTTCTATCCATTTATTATAATATATGGAAAATGTTGAGTGTGCTCATAATTCCTGATATGTGCTCTTAGTGATTTCAGGAGCTCTACTGCATTATATTGCCAAATTTTTTGATACTCATGTAATCCATCTGTGTACCTTTACAGGCTCCAGGAACTTGCTTTTGTAAAACGGGCTTAAAGCAGGTCAGCAGGTCAGACAGCATCAGAGGAGCAGGGAAGTCGACGTTTCAGGTCATTGACTTTCCTGCTCCTCTGATGCTGTCTGACCTGCTGTGCTCCTCCAACTCCACATTTTATTGACTCTGACTTCCAGCATGTGCAATCCTTACTATCTCCTAAAGCAGAGATAGTAGTTTCTGAAGAAGGGTCCAGGCCCGAAACATCAGCCTTCCTGCTCCTCTGATGCTGCTTGGCCTGCTGTGTTCATCCAGCTCTACACCTTGTTATCTCATATCTCCTAAAGCAGTTCAGTTTCTGTTCTGATTTTTGACTACATCTGAGCTCAAGAAATAACTGTAAATATATTCACAGGAAGAAAGGTGTCTTTTTAATTCAAATCATTTGACATGTCAGTTAGTCTCGACTTTTAAAGTATTTTTTCACTTTTTAAAGGTTTGTGTGGAGTGTGGAGAAGATTACTGTTCTAGCTGCTTTGCTAAATTCCATCAGAAGGGGGCACTGAAGCTTCACAGATTTTCTCCTTTTCAGGTACCACCAAACTCTTGTATTACATTTTCATAATGTGGTGTTTCTTTATACGTTGTAGCTTGGAGTCCTTAAAACTATTTTTGAATTGTTTTTCATTTTTAATTTTATCTGATTTTAAGACGTAGCTAACCATTCTGAAGTTGAGAACTTTTTTAAAGGAATTGTTTTTGACACACTACCTTCACAAGCTGGGATTATTGTTGAACAATTTTAGGTTGACTGTAAATAAACAAAATCCCGACAGTCAGACTTCTGATTAAGCTTATATTTGAAGGTATATTCAAGTTTGTACTTGAAGACAGAGATGTATCGACATACATTGGCTGCATCTTACATCTGAATTGAACTTTACATTGCAGTCAATAGAACAGGAAACTAAACATATGTATGATGGATGGCATAGCCGGCATCAAGAGTTTTATATTACTACTGAAAGTTAAAATTACCCTTAGTGAGTCAAGGTCATGTATGGTCTTTACACTAACTGTTGTTAAGAGGCTGTTTGGGCTAGGGCATGCAGTGTACCTCTGAGACTAAGTAAAATTGTAACACCATAAGGTATAGAAACTAAACCAGGCCATTCAGCCCATCAATTTATTATGGCATTCATGGCTGATCTGCTAATCATTAAATCTACGTTCCTGTCTCTTCCCCATCACCCTTTATTCCCTGACTGATTAAAAATCTGGCTATCTGAGCCTTGAAAATACTTAATAATCCAGCTTCTTTATCTGTGATAAAGAATTCCACAGATTCAGTACCCTCTGAGGAAAAAATATCCTTCCCTCTGTTTTAAATGTCCAATCCCTTATTCTGAGATTATGCCCGCTGGTCCTAGACTCTCTCAAGAGGGAAAACAAATTTTCTGCACCTACCCTCTCAAGTTCCTTAAGAATCTTGTGTATTTCTATAAGTTCACCTCTCATTCTTCTATATTCTAATGACTACATGCCCAAACCACTCAACCTCTCTATTGAGACAGTCCCTTCATACCTGGTATAAGCCTGTGACCCTGCCTCCAATGCCATTATATCTTTCCTTAGATTAAAAACCCAAAACTGTTTGTAGTATTTCAGCTGTGGTCTGACTAACGCGTTACCTAGTTTTAGCAAAACCTACCTACTGTCAGAGATAGTAGGAACTGCTGATGCTGGAGTCTGAGATAACGAGGTGTGGAGTTGGATGAACACAGCAGGCCAGGCAGCATCAGAGGAGCAGGAAAGCTGACGTTTTGGGTCGGGACCCTTCTTCAGAAATCTTGTTATCTCAGACTCCAGCGTCGGCAGTTCCTACTATCTCTGAGTCAGTTTTAACCCCACCGTGAAGCCTCTTCTAAGGATGCCTACCTTGAAGAAGTTACCCTCCTCCCTCCGGAAAGTCCTCAGTGGATCTCTCTCCCACTGCAACCCTCTGGTAATCTATTTGGCCCTGAAACTGCTCGACCATGTACTGAAGCAAACCAGGTATTACAGCCACATTGCCTTTCTCAATACCTGCCTATGGAACATCCCCAATGGACTCCAATCTACGTTCAGGCCTTCCCAATTCGGCCCTAACTGCGACGACCGCTACATACAGAACATTCAGATCCTCCAAAAACGTTTTTCTCTGCAACTTCTCAAGCACACACTTGCAGCAATGTGCTGGCATCCCCTGAGCCTGCAATCAAGCCTACCCCAGCTCAGAGCCTCCCTGTTCCAAACCTGCAAAGGACTTCTCCTGTTTTTCATTCTTCGCAGGATCTACTACCTACTGTTATATTGCATTCCTTTTGAAATGAAAGCCAACATTCCATTTACCTTCCCTATTTTTTTTTTGTGATTTATGGACGAGGATTCCAAAATCTGTCTGTTCCATATCTTTCTGCAGTCTTTCCTCATTTAAATAATATTCAGCTGCTCTCTACATCCTACAAAAATGCATAACCTCACATTTCCTTGCATTGTATTCCATCTGCCAAATTTTTTACCCATTTACTGAGCCTATATACAGTATAGGTCTATACCTCTGCGGACTTTGTATCATCCTCACCACTTGCCTTTCCACCTATTTTTGTGTCAACGCAAACCTGGCTATAATACATTCACTTTCCTCTTCCAAGTTATTAACATTTTTGTAAATAATTGTGATCCCATCACTGATCTCTGCACCACTAGGTACAAATTGCCATACTGAAGATGTCCACTCCTCCCAATTTGCTTTGTTCTAATTGTTAGCCAATCCTCTATCCATGCTAACATACTACCTCCAACACCATAGACTCTTATCTTAAGTAGCCTAATATGTGGCACTTCATCGAATGCCTTCTGAAAATTCAAATATAATACATGCACTACTTCTTGCCCTTTATCTATCCTGCTTGTTAACACCTCAAATAATTCTAGTAAATTCGTATGTTGTAAATGCCATGTTTAAAAAGTGGAACATAGCTTATTTATTTGATCAGATGGACAACTGGATTTTGGATGACTTCAAAATTTATAGGGGTAAGGATGTGACTACGAGCCTGGAGTGCTTTGAAATAGCTAAGTCCATATGTGCCTTCATTACATATGAGGGGCTATTTCAGGGTCACGATCAGGTAATCTTTTTAAGGTGGAAATAGGCTGTTTGAGTGAAGTCATGAATGTGTGGTTGGAAGCACATCTTGGAATCAAGCATGACTTTAAGATTGCCAACAGACTGGCTTAATTTCAGATTGATGCCAGAGACAGGGACAGCATAGTTGCAAAGGGATTGAGTTTAGACCATTACAAGTAAAGCATGATTTATATACTCCAACATGTATCTAATCTGCCTCTCTTTAAAATTTCATGTATTTGAATGCATTACAAACGATGTTAGAAAATGCCATTATTTTCTCTCATTTTGCCCTCCTCTCTCCACAGAGGCATCAGTAAAGCGAGCATTACATTTATCTTAGTTTTTTGAAACTGTTTTTTTGTGAAAGCTTAAAAATAAGACATAATGCTGCAACTGCTGAGAATCCAAAATAAAACAAAACATTCGAGAAGCAGCTTCAGATAGATCTATACCTGACATAACTGATTTGCATTCTCTCAGTAGATATTACCTGGTCCTCAGGCTGTCTCCAGCATTTTTGTTTGCAACTATGGCTTCTCCTTGCTGCATCTTTTTCTTTACATTCTGCCCTTGTTTATAGAAAAATCTGTTCCACTTTGCTGGCAGCTACAACAATTGTCAGTAAACTAATCAACCATCAATATTTTTGCTCTGAGCAAAGTCCAACTGAATTCACATTTCTGAATATACACTTCAATTTATTTTGTAACTACTTAATTCAGAAAGCTTTGATTAAAGAATATGGAAAGGTACAAGTTTTATTTTTGACACTCAAATTGTGGTTCACTAGCTACTGATTCCCTGCAAACATTGAGATTAATCTAATCTGTTTACAGCGTTAGGGTCATATTTGATCCCAAAATGAGCTTCCAACTTCACATTCATGTCATTGCTAAAACCATCTATTTCCACCTCAGTGAGATTACTCTGTTTTAGCCCCTCATTCGTGCCTTCATTACCTCTGAATTCAGCTATTCCAATGCACTCCAGGCAGCATTCTCATATTGTGCCCCCTGTAAACCTTGAGTCATCCAAAACTCAATTGTCTGTTTTTGCTTCTAAGTAAGTCTATTTTCCCCAACATGTTGGCTCACTGACTTACATTGGTCCTGCTCAAGCAACGTCTTGACTTTAAACTTCTTATCCTTGCTTTCAAATCCTGAATAGCCTCTCCCTGCTCGTCTCTGCAAACTCCTGCAACCCACAAACTTCTGAGATAGATGCGCTCCTCTAATTCTAGCCACTTGAGCAATATTAGTTTTAATTGCCCTACCATTGATGCCACT